AAATACCTCAGGAGCGAAAGAGTTTGAAAAATATATGTTGACATGAGTTTGATGGAGTCCTCAATATTTGGCGGATTATTTTTCGTAATCAAAAATTATCATTTGTTAGAACTAACGTATTAGATGGGATTAACCAGCCCTGCAAATTTAGGCCCTTAATATCTAATTAATAAAATAAAATAAAATTTACTCCAAATGAGATGGTGGGGTAGATCCTGTGGCTGATATTGGTTGCTGATATGTGCAGTCTCTGCCATTTTCTCTTACGACAACAGGCTCCCGTGTGTATCACCCCCTTTATCATAATGAGTTCGGTATTGAATCCAACTGAAAACACATTTAGTCATACATTTTTTGGCTAAAATTATGTTTGTAATGTATTACAATTTTTTGTATTATTAAAAGGAAGAAATTAGGTCTTTGGGGAAATATAAAGAAAGAAAGATAGATAAATGATGGAGGATGGATGAAATTATTTTCACAGAACAGCAGGAATTATCCTTTTCATCTAAACTGGCTGGAGGGGTGTATCGGTAGCAAAGTAAACAACCTTGTTCTGTATGATACATGTCTTGGGCAGACAGCGTGTGGTTAGTTGTATTGAAGAGTAAGGACCACACCAGTGTTTAACTGGACGGAAGACTGGAAGTGACATCTTCAGGTATGTTTACATGCTGATTAATGTGCTGCATTCAAGCAGCTGATTAGGTATCTAGCCAGCCAACTGACGTTAGCAGTGCACTTTTTCCGGGGCAAGTTTACTTGGCTTGTTCAACAAGGTACAGGACAAGACGTGTCTTCATGTTTGTAAGTCACATAAGAAGAAGACTTTAGAAGCAAAGTTAATATGGTTGTTTTTCTGTGGCTCTTGTGTTGTGTAGCAGGGTGCTGTCTGACTCAGTGTGACGTCTGCTCTGCCCGGACTCGAATGCTGACATTACTGCTTTATGCAAGAAACCAAAAAATATTCATTTCTCTCTCTTGGTTTCTAATTTTTCTTCTGAAAGGAGAACACAGGACAAGTGATTTCTGGAGTAATTTATGCTGTAGCAGACAAAAAAAGCAATTTAATTCCAGCTGGACTTTAAGTATCCCACTCAAGGAAGTCATTTCCTTTTTGAACATATCAAATCCACTTCGGTGGAGATCAGGAAAGAGTAGGGCCCCATCATCCTTTCAATGCAGCACTGCTCTTCTTTCACCAACCTACAATGACCTTGATGTTGGTATGACACCGGCTACTGTAGCTCCTCATGTGTAACACTGGGATTGGGTGTGTTGTTCTCAAAACATCTATACAATTAAGTTTGATTTATTTGATAGCACATGTAAAATATAATCTTTTCACTTTTGGACAATTTTTCAAAATTGCATTCCAACATTTTATTGAATTGCATAGTGTCACTGTAACTAGTTTGCACTGAAAATATACAATGACTTTGACTTTGATTCTGTTAATAGCACCCCCAAATCCCCCAATTTCCTCTCAGAACATCTACATTAAGACCAGTTAGAGATTTGGTTGAGCTATGAGTGTATTTCTCAATACCAACCTCCTACCCAAAAAACCTTTCACATTAGGAGCTGGGTTTGCAGATGCAGCCACATCCTCAATACCAGTGAGAGACTGGGCATAGTGGATGGCCCCCATCCAGTTGTTAAACGGTCCCTGTGGTTCTCAGCCAAATTATTTGGCTGTCCTTGTGATGGCATTGAACTGTTTCCTACATTGGACAACAGTTCTCAGAGGACCTGGGCAACAATTATTAACCGAATGTGTTATCTCATCCCAAGCTAATTTAACATCATCCGCCCTCAGTAGTTTATTTACAGTACTGCATATTTATTCTTGGTGAGTCAGCACTTCTTGCACGTGCACATGAGTTTATTGAGAAAAACTATTTTGTGTGGCAAATACTCCTTACTAATCTCTGTTGCTTCCATATTTAAACTGAAAGAGCAGTGTGGCGTGGAGTCTGCATATTTTAAAGGGGAGAATAAGAGTGTATCTATTTCCTAATCGCAACCCATTTCCAGCTGTGCAGCTGGTGCACTGCACCACATGGCTCCAACCCCCCAAATACCAAAAGTCCATCATCCCACCCCATGTGAACAGTGTTTTTCAGCAGTGTGCAGTGATTCAGTAAAGTGATCAGACTGTGATGTGGACATGCAGTTACTTTCATTTTGATCAATCCATCAGCCTTTCTTCTAATAATGACATGTTTTCTCAGTATTCAAAAAAATGTCACTAGTATCTTTCATAGTTATGTGATCTTTCCTTTTTTATAATATATTTTTCTCTTTATCAATACAAATGGGATCTTTTAATATTAAGAGAAAAAATGACGTAAAGAAAAGATGAGAACATCCATGTAATCATGAGTGATAGAAAGCCACGATGACTCATATTTGTCCAGTATTCCTTTTAATTCCTTGTTGCTGTCGGATGAATCAGAGTCCTTTTATCTAGCAATACATTTAGGTTTAAGGTTTGATAATGTTCAGTTGCAAAACTCACAAAACAAGCAGATAATCTGGCATTTCATGCATACAAGTTGCACAAGTCTCAATATACAAATAGAAACTTGCCTTATACAAATAAGCACTGGGAATTTACTCTCATCATGTGGCAGTATGAATGTAAATGTACTCACTGTAGGGGGTTTGGGGACAGCAATGACGACTCTGGTGACGACGCTGGTGGAAATGACAAAGCTCCTGGGTCAACTGCAAAACTGATTTTCATGGTAGTGGAGCAATTCAGAGTTTGGGGTTATGTGATTAATATACAAAAAATAATAAGGGCATGCAAAGGTAAGGTAAGTTGTGTGTCTGAGAGAGTTGTATTTATTGTATTGTATATGAAAGGATTTAGTCATCTTTCCTTACCACATTGACAAGTCTGTCAGCACAAAATTGTGTGATCATGTGTAATAGTTAGTCTTCAAACACCAGACAACAAAAACCAAAATAATATTTTCCCATTACATTTGTCTGGTCATGCAAAAAACACAAAAAAACACCATACAATTGTTTTTTTTTTTTTTAATAAAATGTTATGTAATATAACATACTGTTTAAAAAAATCCGCAAATGAAGCAACCATTATAAACAATTATCGTTTTTAGACACATTTGCTCAATTTTCACTGAAACCCTATCTTTGCACAAGCATATTATTATCAATCTCCTGCTCAGCATCTTCCCTCTCTCATATTGTGTATTGTTTCATTTTGACAGCCAAGCTCAAATTAGTCTTATGTAATTAGCCTAAAACCGTCCTGTTAAGTATACTGTCATATTTTGACATTGCCACTGAGTATCTGGTTGATGGGGGCTTGTTTTCCTTCTGTCAACGTGTAGTTATAGTTGAAATTCAGTATTCTTAGTTGATAGTTGAAATTTAATTACAATCAGTCTAAAAACTGATTATTATATAATATGCCAGTATAATTATAATTAGTTACACAAGTTGAGATATTCAAATTATCCTAGATTATTTCTGGTCATTTGGCAACTAGGTGAAGCTGTGTTTAAATAATAGAATACAGAATTAATTTAAGGCGTCATAAGAAACTGACACACTCATTTTAACTGTGATGTGACAAAGAAAAATCTGCCTCTAAGTATGCCACTGTGATTTCTTTAACTTTTGCAATCAAGTTGTTCATCATCTATTTAACAGAGAAAGATTAGGCCCATTAAATTTTCCCTGCTCTTTTATGATGTGTTATTGTCTAATAAACCATGAAAGGGGGAAGAATTGTTGCATACAGTAGCACTCGATAGCACACTGTTGGGTGCTCCACGGCCGACGGCCAAAGTTCTTAAATGCAATTACTGATGAAAATCGTTTCCTTATCAGTAACTAAGAGACATAATTTCACTGCCAAGTGGATATTAATGTTCACAGTCAATGCACAATCTGGAAATATGTCATTTTAATGCTCTTTTTGAAATAATAAAACCTTTTCAAGATTTGTTTTTCAATTTTTTCCATTAAGCAGGATGTGATGATGGTAAATGTTCTGCTTTTTTGCAGTGTAATGGAGTTGTGGCTTTTTACTTTAAGATTATTATAACTAGAGATAAGTGGGATATTATGCTATACTGTATAATATATCAATGTTAGTCAAACTATTGTATTTTTAGCTTGAGTTACATTTACTGTAAACTGTCCAATCCAGGCAGCGTTAGGTGTATCTTATCTGCTGCCTCATGGATTTTTTAAATAAAGAAACACCATAAATCTAGCCTTGCTCAGATCTGTTTTTAGACGATGTGTTCCCACCGACTGCTACTTTGCTGATCTGTGCACCAAGTCTTTTTAAATGCATTGTCTCTAAAATATTTATAGAACACAGGGTCATATTTGGTATTATAATGCCACTGTAATTCTAAGGGCAATAATACAATTGTATTAACCATCCCTTGCAACTTTAGTGGAACCAAATTGAGTTCCTATTTGTATTTGATGAAAAAGGCACCAATTTGTACCACAATATTTTTAACAATTCATGAAGTCGCAAGTCAATAGTTGAAAGTTTCCTCCAGCCGTAATTGACACCACTGGGTAAAGGGAGATGGTGTTCTTCCACATTAGTGGCTGGGTGTCATAACATATCATAAAGCAGTCTTCTAACCTTGTCAGAACTTATCATGACACCAATTAGCTTAAAAAAAAGACAGCCACACAGCTGAAGATGTACTTCATGCTCGTCTGCAAAAGGGTAACAGTCCTTGTATGGAGAGGCACAATATGCGTGGCTTTCAAAAAAACTCCAGGGAGGCATGAAGGGTGAACAATCCAGAGAAAAAGAAAATAAATACACATCATGTCACTGTAAAGTGACAATGACAAGGGCACTATCTTATTTGTTCAGTACAACGCAATTAACCTAACTCTATGACATCTTCTTGTAAAATAGACTCTGTCATGTAACAGCTCTCTTTTTCTGTACCCCCCCCCCCCTCCCTCTTCTCTTTCTCTCCTATCAGGTCTCCACATAATGGAGCGAGAATGAACAGAGAGCGGCTTAAAAAAAAGCATGAACTGGAGGTTTATTGAGGTCATCTGCTTCCTGTTTATATGGGACCATATAACAGTTCAGTCTTCCCGCCAGGACCCGTTGGCCACTGAACAACATGTCACCAAGCAATATGACTGGCTCATCTCTGACCGTGGACCTTTCCACCACTCTCGGAGTTACCTGTCCTTTGTGGAAAGATTCCGCCAAGGATTTACGACCAGATATAAAATTTATAGGTGAGTTCACTTTCAGCCTGTGTACCGATGCCACACTGGCTTTTTAAGAGTGCGTCTGTTTTAATGGTTTTTCTTTTTTGAGATTTTAGTTGCAAAAAGCTGCACTGTGTACATTTTTAACCTATTAAGCGTGCATTTTTTATATTTACTTGCGGCCATTCTCAGCACTGTGCACATCTTTTTCTTATATTTATCTTATAAGTAGCACTTTCATTCTCCTTTGCTATTATTATATAAGTTTTAAGTCTTTTTTGGACCAATTTGAATCCCCTAGTCACATGCAATCCCCTAGTCACATGCAATGTGACTAGAGAAAAAAGTCTTTTTTTTCATTCATTCTTCTTAAAAGAAAAAAATGAAAGAAAAAAACTGAAAAAGTCAATAGTTGAAGGATGTTATTATTGAATTACAGCCCAAAATATTTGTACTCTGGTACAGTATTAGTTGGCTTGTAAGTAAAAGGTACTGTGTTTGCAGTTATTGCTATTGTTAAATGATTGAGAAGTATTGGAAGATGCAATGTACTTGAATGAGAAGTGCAGCCTAACTGGTAAACAAATTACAATGGTTTGATATTTGTACACATTTGAACAATTAAAGAGGTTTTCCAGCAATTTGCTATTGTGCTTTCATAAAGCTGGAAGAAATTGCAAGAGACAGATTTAAAAAATAATCAAAATAGTCAAATTAAGGGCAGGCATGGATTTTAGTCAAAAACCCAAAAATGAAGAATGAATGAAAAATTGGATTGGATGATCTACTGGCAGACATTGAATATAATATTCATAGGTATGTATGAACCACCATGTTTTTACAGTAGCCCAGAATGGACAACCAAAAACATGCTCTAGAAGGGGCTGTTTCCATTTTACTACACCATTAGATACCACTAAATCCTACACAGTGGACCTTTAAAAGGTTTGTAAATTATTCACTAATAAAAAAACAAAAGGGTCCAAGGCCCAAAATGTGTTTAGTCACATTAAGCTACAGGGGTTAAATCATAATAGGGAATAATATGATTCATCCCTTCCCCTACTTTTCAATTTCACACATACGAATTTACATAATAACAACTTCATATACTATTAGTTCTCCATTTTTATGCTAGCCCTAAACTACTATTAGTACCATTACAAATACCTCTTTAAACCTCTGATCATGGATTTCCGTCAGTGCTTTTATACTTTTATCCAGATTTGTGACTAAACAATACAGTTGGAAATTCAACAATTGCTAAATAGTTTATATTATTTACCTTACATTTTTGTAAGCTTTGCAGTTGCGTTCATCTCCTCATATATCATTTACACAGGTAGAGGTAGATGGCTCTTTCTCAGAATGATGTGCTTTGATTTCCTTGCATCCCTCTGCAGTCAGAAGTATAGATAGACTGAAACAGAGTAAGAGAGTCATTTGCCACATTCCTTTGACAGTTCTTTTGCAGAGTTTGTTCTCTCTCTCTCTCTCGCCTATGTCTCTCTTGGTAACTTGCCACAGCCCCCAGTCCCCACTGGCTTTCCTGCCTTGATATTGTCACATGAACAGTAAACAATGTATTTGCATAATGTGTAACTTGACAGAGATGGGATGTTGCACAGAGACATGAATCTCAGAGGCAGAACTTCTGAAGCTCCTTCCCACAGACACTGTACAGCCGTCGAGTGCTGTCTGTGATTTATTAAAACTGGGAGCGTGTGTTTGCATGTTGGGTGCTGCTGGGAACATTTCTGGGCCCAGGTGGCTTTTGTTGTTTCTCCCTCTTAGCAGACCATTAGTGGCATCAAATTCCAGCATCACTGCTAGATATCCCTTTCTTATGACAAGACAATTAGATCTTGCATTAAGAGTGTGAAATTGATTTCTCATTAAAAAATTAAATGACAACAATCGACAAACCACATTCACATCCGTCAGACATTTGCAGAACTGTCAAACAAAGTGAAGTAAAAACTGTACAATACAGTGCAGTGCACTGTAAGACTATATTAGTGGACTAAATGAAAGATGTTCTTGAGCATGGGATGCGTATTTAGTAAATAATCATATACAGTGTTTGAGGCAAAGGTGTGAAACAGTCCCCCAGAGGTCCCAGTGTTTTCCAAGGATTTTCATCGCAACCTGGACCACCAGTTAATTTCAATGATTAGTACATCTTCAGCCAGAAAGTGGGAGGAAATCAGTGACATCAGCTGGTGTAGTGTTTGGTTGGAATGAAATCATATATACCCTCGGTCCTCCTCGGCACATGATTGCCCAGCCGCGCTCTACTCTAACCAGCAATGAGAACTGAATCGCTTTGTAAATTTCCCTGGGGACTTTCTCTGCCTCGACGATTTAGTCGTGGAAAGTGGTTGAATCAGATTTGCAGCGAGACAAAGCATCCATTCCTTTCGGGTTCTCTTATCAAGAGAGATTACCTAGGAGGCATGCTGCGTGGACAATGCCAACCTGATCAGCAACAAACAAATCTGCCCTATCTTTAATAACATGGGCACTTCGCCTAATTTGAAGGATAAACACAGATTTAGGACGTGCCAGCCTCTTGTCTAGTGCTATGAAAAGGTCACAGTCGCTTGAAGGGGAAAGACACACCACAAGGCACCAATTATCCTCTCCCTTTAGACTAAAGAAAAGTATTGGAGTGTGTTTTGTAGTAAGTATCACCACTGTGTCCATTCTGATTGCAATCTTCACATTGGAACCCTTTTTTTTCCTTCCTGTTATCATATGCATAAGTGTACATTTCCTGTATGGTATTCATCAGTCACAAGAAAGCCAACTTTCACTGCTGGCTGAATACTGCTCTTGTATCCGACCTGTAGCTGAATAATGTGTATCAGTGTGTGCTTCAGTTACTGGTGAAATTCGATGGCCTGCATGTTTTGCTCACACTAGCATCTCTGGTTCTGTTGCTTGTACTCTATTATGGGGTTGAATGTGTTTCAGATGATTCGTGTTCTCTCTTTGGTCTTTGTTCGCAGAGCTCTATCTCAGGTTCCTGTGTGCCTGAGTGAAAAACCAATATAAATGCAAATCTGGTATCCATTAATGCATTTTAAAGGCCTCAAATCAGCATTGCACTGTAATCAAAGAAGTGAGCTAGGGGTTGTTATTTAGAATAAAAATATTTATGAAAATGAATAGCTCTGATTGATCACACTTTGAAAAGCCATGCTGAAGTGAATGAATAGACAGGGTTGATAGAGCTACTCTTGTCAATGGATCAAGACCTCAAAATTCATCAAAGGTTTTGAACAAAAGCCTTCAATGACCTGTTGTAAAATAACACTTGGAAATGCAATTAAAACAAATGTAATAACCAAAAGAGACTTTTGAAGTAAACAAAATAACTGTTCTTGGATTGATGTTATTCTTGCAAAGTACTGATACATTCAGTTAAAATATGTATGCTCTGTGAGTATGATGTCGTAATGTATAAACTAAGTAGAAGACACAAAAAGGAAAATTGAGTCATTGTGTGATTTACTACATTATTTAAGATAATTGCAAATTATCTGAATTTGAATTTAGGAGTCTAATTTCATTTTAGACACTGCTATTCTGTTTCAACAGTTAAAAAAGAACCCTAACCCTAACCCAAGTTTTACTGTGTAAGAGTTAGAATAGAAAACGGATACCGCTCACATGTCTGTACAGGAAAAATAAAGCTACTGCCAATGGCAGGTTAGCTTAGCTTAGCATAAAGACTGAAAACAGGGACACACAGGGACTTACTAAATAACATGTTATATCTCCTTAGTTTAATTTGTACAAACTTCTTTCAAATCATTGTTGGATAGCAGGTGGCGTACGACTGATAAGAAAATAGGAAAGGTCAAAATCTAAAAATGTTGCAGTGACACTATGTTTGCCATCCAAAACAGAAATGAAGTGTTGCTTGTCACGTGAATAGCTAGAGAAAGTGGTAGGTTGCTTATTTACACAATATTTGCTAACAAGCAAGCTACTAGCTAGCTAGCTGCATGTGTTGACATGCCCACAGTGACAAGGAAGAAGTGGCAGATGAGATATTACACAGTGTCTTCACTTTCAGTTGGTTTCCACCGTAAGGACATATCCCATTAATGTAAAAGTGTTTTTTGAGGTTTGAAATAAGCAGCTTTTCCAACTTTAATACCAAAATACATCTGTTCCATTGAATCTATTATCACTGGCATAATTTATATATAACATGGAAACTTACTTTTGTCATCCAGCTAGCTCCATCAAACCAGTGTTTAAAGCAAGGTTTGACGGACTTGACATGGTTATATTTAATGCAAGCACATTATGCATATCTCTAAACATTTCCTTCATGATCTTAATTATTCCTAACTATAATAAGTCCACAGACACTTGATCAGCACTAAACCTTGAATGAATAATCTGGTGCACTAATTTGCATGTGCAAACAACATCTTTTATTCAGTCTCTAATTTAAACTGTTAATCAAACAGATAGTCCTGCATCTTGAGACTCACTTTACCTTTCATTCCAGATTCTTAATCCTAATTTTTTTGTGTAACAAGCTTAGCATCGATTGGACTTTAACGAAAAACGAGTAATGACAAAAACTCACTGAGCTTCCTCATGTGTTCAGTGTGGATGTTTCTGTCAGTGCTGATCTGGGCCCGATTTGTTTTAAACAGAAACAAGGTGTAACATTTGTCCGACTCAGGTCTTGAATTAGTTTGGATGAGCCATCTGTAATTGGATAGAGCGAGGGAAGGCGGATTTGATGTACTCGGCAGATTTGCTGAGAGAGGCTGCAGCAATGTTTAATTCAGCAGGCTGTAGCCAAAGGAAAAGAAGGAGAAAGGCAGTCAGGAAGTCAGCAGGGATGAAACAGACTCTAAGAAGAAGACAGAGACATTGAGGGGTCTGAGATGCCATTAAGCAGTGAGACAGGAAGGTGCTAAAAGTGTGTGATAAAAAAAAGTAAAAAAAAAACAAAAAAAGATGTTTAAAAGTACTAGAGACTTGGAAGGGGGTCCGGT